CAATAAACATTAAGTAACTACGACCAGTAAGTAGCTATGACCAGTAAGTAACTCAGATCAGTAATTAAGTCTGATCAATAAGTATCAATGAACAGTGAGTAACTTAGACCAGGATGTATCTATGAGCAGTAAGTATCAATGACCAGTAATTATCTATGAACACTAATAAACAATGACTTGCAACTTTTGTAACAACATTTTTCTGAGACTTGCTCAGCAGCAGTCACTTCGTTCCGGGGATGATAGAACTCGTTGAGAATCATATGCACAGATGTGTGTGATTTGTTTTGGAACAAATTTAAGAGCAAGCTATTTGAATGAAACTATCGAGTTAATCTTCTATATAATTTTACTTCTATATAAGTCGGAGAATGGCGAATCGGTGGACTATATATATACATATATATACCTGCCATAGGAAATATCGAACGATTTATAGAACAATGATCAGTAATTAACTATGGTCAGTTATTAACTATGATCAGTAAGTATCAATAAACATTAAGTAAGTATGACCAGTGAGTAGCTATGACCAGTAAGTAACTCTGATCAGTAATTATGTCTGATCAATAAGTATCAATGAACAGTGAGTAACTTAGACCAGGAAGTATCTATGAGCAGTAAGTATCAAAGACCAGTAATTATCCATGAACACTAATAAACAATGACTTGCAACTTTTGTAACACAACACATGCCTGAGACTTGGCCGGCAGCAGTCACTTCGTTCCGGGGATGTTAGAACTAGTTGGGAATCATAAGTTTACGTGCGCGAGATTTGTTTTGGAACAAGAGCAAGCTATTTTAATGAAACTATCGAGTTATTCTTTTATATAATTTTACCAGCTATTTTAATGAAACTATCGAGTTATTCTTTTATATAATTTTACCAGTATATAAGTCAAAGCATGGCGAATCGGTGGACTATATATATACATATATATAGCTGCCATAGGAACGATAAGACGATTTATTGAACTATGATCAGTAATTAAGTATGTTCAGCAATTAACTATGATCAATAAGTAACTAAGACAAGAATGTAACTATGACCGGTAAGTAACTATGATCTGTAATTAACTATGATCAGTAAGTTTTAAAGAAAAGTAATAAACTTTGACCAGGAAGTATCTATGAGCAGTAAGTATCAATGACCAGTAATTATCTATGAACACTAATAAACAATGACTTGCAACTTTTGAAACACAACATATTTCTGAGACTTGCTCGGCAGCAGTCACTTCGTTCCGGGGATGTTAGAACTAGTTGAGAATCATATGCACAGATGTGCGACATTTGTTTTGAAACAAATTTAAGAGCAAGCTATTTGAATGAAACTATCGAGTTAATCTTCTATATAATTTTACTTCTATATAAGTCGGAGAATGGCGAATCGGTGGACTATATATATACCTGACATAGAGAAAATCGGACGATTTATAGAACTATGATTAGTAATTAACTATGGTCAGTTATTAAATATGATCAGTAAGTATCAATAAACATTAAGTAACTATGACCAGTGAGTAGCTATGACCAGTAAATAACTCTGATCAATAATTAAGTCTGATCAATAAGTATCAACAGTGAGTACAGTGAGTGAGAACAGTGAGTAACTTAGACCAGGAAGTATCTATGAGCAGTAAGTATCAATGACCAGTAATTATCTATGAACACTAATAAACAATGACTTGCAACTTTTGTAACACAACACATTTCTTAGACTTGCTCAGCAGCAGTCACTTCGTTCCGGGGATGAAAGAACCAGTTGAGAATCATATGCACAGATGTGCGTGAATTGTTTGAACAAGTTTAAGAGCAAACTATTTGATTGAAACTATGGAGTTAATCTTCTATATAATTTTACTTCTATATAAGTCGGAGAATGGCGAATCGGTGGATTGTATATATCTATACATATACATATACATATATCTTCTATAGGAACAATCGGAAAATTTTGTTTAAATTAGTTAATATTTATTCAATGATGGCAGATAAAACAAAAATCATTATTATTGGGATCGTTGAAATAAAATAATTTACATTTTAATTGTCTTTATTTATTTGATTTTAGAATCTCAATAATACAAATTAAAATGTGTATATAAAAAATTGAAAAGCAAGCTCTCAACAGATAACGGTCTGAAAATACTATTCAGTATTTTAAAACAGTATTTTGAAAAATACGTGACTTGACCACACCATTTAACAGCTGATTCGGCGTCTTGAAACCCTAACATTTAGTTATTTTGTTTGTTTGTTGTTTACATTATAAATCATTAAAAGACATGTTGCACTCTCAAGCAATACATTCCCTGCCCACACTGCATCAACCTCTGCACTCCAAGGTATCAAATTATCTAAACAATCAGCGGAGAACGGGACAATTCTGTGATCTGCTCCTCGAGCTAGATTCCGACGATGCCCTGAGTTTAAGGGTCCACTTTTGCGTCTTAGCCGCCCAGAGTCAGTTGATAAACACCAACCAGAAGCAACAACAGTTTTCCATTCACAACCCTCTGAAGATCACCATCCGCAATTTTAGCTGCACTCAATGCCTGCATACGATTGTCGATTTCTTCTACGAGGACATTGTTTCCGTATCCAAAGAGCACGAGCCACACTTCCGGGAACTGGCACAAATACTTGCAGTCACCGAGCTGCTGAATCTCTACCAAATGCAGCCTTTGGGAGAAGTGAACGAAGCTTCAGAGATTATAGTTCCCGGAGACAATGAACTAAGCTTGGAGAATCCGGTGAAGAAATCCGAGGACGTGTTTGAGAATCAGCAGAGCTACTTTAAGGTGCGGTAGGACATGCACATAACCCATTTTCCTGTCTTTATTAATGACACCATGTCCATTTTCAGTTAAAGAACCCCAGAGCTGTGAAATCTAGCAGTAAGGTGAACTATTGCATTGGCTGCGACTTCAAGTGCTACCCGGTACAGAAGATGATCGAGCATATGGGAAGCTGTGAGCCCTCGCACCTTACTTGCTCCTATGCGAGTGGGATTTCTTCACTGGCGAGAATACGACCGACATCTTCGCAGGCATTCCGGAGATTTGCGCAAGCCCTTCTTCTGCCTGCAGTGCGGGATTCGGTTCACAACGCGGGCAGCGCTACTCGTCCATCAGCCCAAGCACTCTACGGAAACGCCACACATCTGTCCACACTGCGGAAAGGGCTTCAAGTGGAAGCAAGGCCTCAGCAATCACATACTGGTGCATAATCCAGAGAAGCAAATGCTTTGCGACGTCTGTGGCTACAGCACCACCCACATGAAGGCCCTCAAATCCCACAAACTGCTCCACACAGGTGAGTTTTTCGCTTGCACTGTTCCAGGATGTAAGCATCGCGCCAATCGCAAAGAGAACCTCAAGCTACACATCGAGACGCACAAGCAGGGCCGGGATTTTATCTGCGAAATCTGTGGTTGCAAGTTCAGCCAGAGTAAGAATCTCAAGCGCCATGCCTTAAAGCATACGGAGAATGGCCCGAATCGTTACAAATGCCAGCTATGTGGATTCAGTAGTCATCGTTCCGATAAAATGAAGGAGCACGTTCAACGTGTGCACACGGAAAAGGCGGTGCAACTAGAACTTTCTGAGACGGTGGACAGCTCATTTCCCGACGATTTCGACCTGCCCATTATCGAGACTGTGCCATCACCCAAGAAGAAACAGTCCAAGGAAGTCGTCAAGTCGAAGCTTAAAAGGGAAACAAACCCCGAGAGGCGTTTGAAAATATTACTGCCAAAGGAGACTGTCGAAAAGGTGTAAATCAAAGCAGGAGGCTAATGATTAGCTTCATTATTATCTGATTACAGAAGGAATTTATGAAAATATTGATAATATGATACACAAATATTAAATGATCTCTGATGCATCATCAATTTAATAGGGAAAAAATTATACCTCTTGGTAGCAGGATGCAACGAAGCAAAATGATTTGATTATAAATATTTTTGAGTTATTAAGGTGTTTATATTAACGCACCATTTGTATACTGTAAATATTTATAGGAGCTACTAAAAGCTAGTTTATGTTTTGAAACATTTAAGAAGTAATTAAATGGCTGCCAATGTATTGTAAACAACATTGTCATAAATTGTGGAAGGTTATTTCTAGATTCTACAATGTTGGGGGCAGTAGTTCTATTTTATCTTATCTAATCAGAGTAAGTGATTAGAACCTATTGCGTTGTTTCTAGAACCAATGACTAACCCGAGCGAGAGTTCCGACCTTATCAGCACCTGAGCGCTACGTAACTGATGTGTTTCTATAATAACAATTAGACCAAAACAAACGGAAAGCTCTGTGGTGCGATAGTAATTCTGAAATAAACAGAAGCTATACGGGAACTGAGAGGGAGGAACTGGGTCAGCCGATCGATCAGGTTCTAACGCACCTCCAAGCGCGGCGATGTGCCGCCCCTCACGTTGCCCCGGCCGCCTATGAAGAAGATATTTCTGGGTAAATGCACTTTTCGGGGTCTTTTGCTTGGGGGCCAATGTGTGTGTGGTGTTATATAACAACACTTTCCACTCGCTGCAGAAACGTGTGTATTATGAAAATATTCGAAAATAATTAAAATAAATGGGCAAGGCAAAGAATATGTTTGGCGGTGTATGTTTTTTGTTTTTTTTTTTTTTTTTGTTTACCGCGCAGTTTGTAAACAACAAAAATTAAATTGCGCAGCAAAAATTGACAAGCTGATTGGGCTCTCTCAGCGGAAGAGAGCATTTCAAGGGTTGTCAGAGTGTTGGCCAATTATTTAGATGGCTTAAAAAGCGGTAAACTTCAAATTTAGCTTAGATTTTATGTTGATTTTGGTAAAGTGTTTTAAACATTGCATACGATAAGCAAATTATATCAATTATTGGATTTAAATCAACAATAATGTTTCTCGCTACTCCAGTCTGGCAGCTCTGTCGGAGAGAGCTTTCCACTGCGCCCAAAAAAGCTCGCCAGGGTATAAAAAGACGCAGCTCGGCCGAAAAAACTTCAATTCCGTTCGCTCGGCGAAAAGTGAAAAATAATCAGCGACTCACCTGGAAAATCTTGTTAAGTCTGCAACTTTGCAACTAAGAAGAAGAAGCAGAAGAAAGGAAAAAAGAACGCAGTTAATTTTGCAAGAAACTAGAAACGAAATCAACAACCATGTCCGAGGCACACTTTGATGAGTACGAGCACTACAATTTCGACCATGACAAGCACATCTTCTCTGGCCACAGCGGCAAGCAGCGCTCCAAGAAGGAGGCCACCGAGCACACCAATCACTTTGATCCCTCTGGACACTCCCGCAAAATCCTCACAAAGCTTATGAACACCAACAACAACAACAAGAAGGCGGCCGCCTGCAAGAACTGATGCAGGGCATCGGAGGAGCGGGAACGGCAACGGGAACGCAAAGTGAGCGGCGGAGAACGCAGCGCGTGGGAAGGTGCGAGAGAAAAGAAATCTTCGAATTTAAACGAGAAAAAAGGTTGAAAAATCACAGCAGTCGCTAAAAGGAGAAGGAAAAGGAAAGAGAGAAGAGAGAGAACAACAAAAGCCACCTGGGAATACATATTGCATTAGGAATTGCATTGTGTTTTCATGCGGCGCAAAACTTTGTGAACTTTATAATAATTTTAGTTTGCTTATAATTTCACAAACTCAAAAAAGGCAGATCTACTCTTAGCTTCTAAATATTCCTAAACTAATTCAGACTTACACGTTTTAGTTGCTAAGCATTAGTGCGTTTCAAATTATGAAGTTTGATTTAGGTATTACTTATAAAATAAAGAGAAAACCAAAACTGAATGATGTGTGTATTTTTAAAGTGCAATTCTTTTTTTTTATACTTTACAGCAAGTATTTGTATGCACTATACGTGTGAGAGTGCTTTCCAATGCTGACAGTGTATTGGTGCGCCTCAAGCTCACGTATAAACATATTTATAGCCTTTTAGTTGAACTCATTTGCACCCAACTCCTCGATTATCGCTACTGCAATTGCACCAGAGTTTTTGTTTTTCTTTGTTTAGTGTCATCGATTCCACTGCAATATCGTACACATATATACTTATGTATATTTGTATATATGTATGATGCACTTGCGATTCACATTTAGAAATACGGTGTGTATTTTAGAAACGGAAATGTTTCCGCGACCTTCCATTGAAAGTTCACAATTTACACACGCTTAATTAACTTACATGCATACATTGTCATGCTCAATACACCTTCCGGTTTTAGTTAGCTTGTGTAAATGAGAAAGTGAAGTGCATTTATGCATATTGATCAAAATTTATAGTCTTTCCACTATACTTAAAATGTATTTTTACATTTTATGTGGAAACTTACAACATCGTTGTTTTTTTCCATTAACACGCATCCACAAATAAACAAACATAAACATATACAAACATATATGAATGTAATACATAAATAGATTGATGAAACTTTCTAGAAAGGTCCACTCTAATGCCACTCTCCCTCTCTTGGGCTACTCTCTTTGAGGCATTTGCCGGCTTTTTAAATTGCGTTGTTGATATTTGGTAAACAATAAAACAGACTCTCGATCAGGTGGTTTTCCTATATGCTATACATATGCTTCTGCCGAATGTTAATCATCCCCAACAATGACAAATATTTACCAACCGAAATTCACGATGTGTTTTATCACTCATTCAATTCATTCATTTTTATTACTCATTCAATTGTTTCTGGAAGTTTGCTATCAGTTTCCAAAGTTTCTGGAAATTGCCTCATCTTTCAAAGGAATCTTTCCGAAAATCAATGAATCTATCAACATTATCAACATTTTTATACATTACTAATTTTAAAGAAATTATATGTTATTTATTTAATAAATCTATAGAATTTAACCATTGTATTTTAATGAAACTAGAATATCACTGAATTATGATTTGGACATTGACACGCTATCAACAACTCGAAGGTTTCAAACAAAACAACAAACACAAATAACAAAAAGTTTACGACCAGAGCTTTTTAGAGGAGAACAAGTGATAAATTCACTAAACAAAATCGTGTAAACAATTTTGAGGGTAACGAACTAGTTTGGCTCGGTGCGTTTTGCCGGTAAATAAATGACGCATTAGAAATTCAGGTAAGATCTAGAAGTCAGTGGAAGTTGCCAACCATAAGTAAATGTTTTTGTATTACTCTTTGGTATACAAATTGATTCATTTTCTCTTTAGTAATCATTTTAGGCATTCAAAATTAAAACCAAGCTAAAGAAAACATAAATTTTGGTAGATGTTTCTTTTAAATTCCTATGACAGTTCTTGTGGAAGTACAAAATTATTAATGTGCAATTTGTTTTAAAATCGAAGCAAATTACCCTAATTATAATAAAAATATGTATCTACATTTTATCATATCTATATCTTTAGATTCTACAGCCCAAATGAAGAATTAAAGCATTTTTAAATCTACCATATGTTTTAAGCCCTCTTCTTTTATATTTATATATTTTAGTTAGGAAAAATGTTATATTCAGACATTTGTTATTAAAGTTCTAAAAGTAAGAGTTATTAATATTAAACAACAGCTAATGAAATACCCTTAAATCTTAATTATACCCTTGCAGGGTATTATATTTTAGTCAGAACCTTGTAACGCTGTGAAGGAATCATTTCCGACCTATAAATATATATATTCTTGATCAGTAACAACAGCTGAATCATTAGCCATGCCCGGTTGAAATAAATTTTGTTCAAATGTTGAAATTTTGTTAGGTTTTTGCCAAAATTTCCATTTTTTTAATTTTAAACTGAGTATGTAGATTTTGAACCTGATAAAACTAATATTGTAAAGCTTTCCGAATTAAAATTAATGCATTTTTGGCTAAGTTATGATAGATTAAAATTCAGCAAAGGCTGCACAAACTTTGTTTTCCCAAAGTCAACTTTCTTTCTTGTTTTTTTGTCGTCTAGGATAAAACCTGCTACTTAGTGCTTATTTGTTGTTTACCAGAAGATAACTTAATTGTAGAAATGGATTGCTTTCTCGGTCCATAATGAAGACACACGCTGCCCCTGTGAAGCTGTGAAGATGTGTATTGTAGTCGTAAATATGTAAGCCCCCCAAAGATCGTGATTACGCGTGCCACACGACAGACGATGAACCACGATGGCTCCATGGGTCCACAGAACCGTACTATCCAATTACGAGCTCCTAAATTCCTGACTCGGGTTCCCCTTCACCCATCTTCCTAGAAGAGAACCATATTGCACACTTCACCGCGAAAAAAACGAATTTGTGGTCTGAGATTATGCATAAATGAATGGAGCATAAGATCGAATCGGATCGGTTTGTGGAGAGTACTGGATATGGTGCTAATTGGAGTGGCACTCGGAGTCGGATGAACCGTTAAATCGAAACTGGAGCAGTGGCCCAATAACGATGATGCACGCGGCCTATGGATTAGCACCTTTCAAAGAGTGAGCTCTACTACTACGGCGATGTTCTAGATATGCCCATGTCCACCATTAGCACCATCCGCAAAGGTGGGTTTTTCTGGAGCAGCATTTGGGACTGTCCGTTTAGTTGACGATTAAACTCAGAGCCGACTGCCGTGCCGTGCCGTGTAAAACTCCTACGAAGAGATGTCAGCGAAGACTCCGCGGCGTCTGTCGCCAGTTTGGTTTCTTGTGATCACTTTGCTCCTATTTGTGACTACCCTTACAGCGGTGGCTGTCATCGAAGCTGGACGCGCACAGAACACTGCTGCCGGTCAGAGTGATCTCCTGATCCTCACGCGCATGTGGAATCATTTCAAGGCAGGTGCGGAGAACGATACGGAAGTCGCAACCGTGGAGCGAATTGCTCGGGAAGTTGGCAATGGCACGGAATCTCCGCCTATGGCGCATGGACAGAGCAGAAACTTCTATGAGGAGCAGCAGGCAGTGGTAGTTAATGCGGAGAGCATGGATCCCGTGATGGGACAGCGTCAAGATGCCTACGGGCCGCCTCAGAGTAGAGACGACTCCTACGAACAGGATCCCTACTACGATGTGGCGGACGACTATGGACCAGGACGATATCCCTATCCAGAGTCTAGAGAGCAGCCAGCTGAAGAGGATATCTCATCATCGCCAGAGACGGAAGAGGGCAGGGCGTCTCAGGCTCGTCCCTATGATTCCTTCTACGCTCCCTGGCATACTCAAAGAAACCAGCACCAGTGGCACACATCCGCTGAGGGAAACAACAGGAAGCTGCAGGCTACACCCAACAGGTAAGTTATCTACACCTAAAACTATACAAAAAATAGGAACCAAACAATACCCAGTTTAATATAAAATGGATTTTAAAGATAATGGATACTGATGCAAAAGCTTAAACTTAATACAGGAGTCATTTTCGACCCTATAAATCATATATTATATCTGAATTAATTTAATTTTAAATTTTGAAATTTTATTTTCATTTGAAAATTGAAAATTTTAAATTAATGATTGAATATGCAGATTTATTAACCTAATAAAAAACCAGCATAGGAAAAGTTTCCGAATAAAAATTAATGCATTTTTGGCTTTGTTATGATAGATTTCCTGAAGGGTATGCAATTTCGAGTTTTTGAAGTTATCTTTATTATTTGTTTTGCATAAAATCGCTTTGAATTAAAATCTTCTAGTAGGTTTTCTATTTTCATTCGGTATTCGGTTTATAAAAGTTAAAAGTAAAAAATAAAATTAAAAGAAAAATAACAAAAACCCGCAATATTTAATCAAAATGAGAATGAAAACACTCTGCAAATTCCATATCAGTCGAGTGCATATTATAAATTAATAACAAATGAGACGCAGTTCGAAGATTCACAAATGGTACATATACATAAATATATATTATTTATGTTTATTTGTCCATTATTTGACACAATTTCACAATATTATACGTAATTTACCAATAGCCAATTTTTTTAAATAGAAACATTTGATTTATTTAATAAATACTGGTTGCTTTTCAACTATTAGATCCCCCTATCCTGCCTACGATGAGGTCTACGACTATCCCATGGGATTCCAGCCGCCTCCACACCCGGAAACACAGATGGCCAAACAAGCTCAGCCTGCTCCCGAAACTGCGGTAGCCCCCCAAGTTCAGAGCGAGTCCACACTGGTCACCGTACTAAGAGTCTTAAGCAGATCTGGGATCTATATCAGGCTCTGATGAGCGCCTGGAACGCTGTTAGCGAGCGCCATCAGCAGAGCACCGAGAAGTATCGCAAGGAACAGGCACAGAAGCAGGCGGAGAAGGATCGACTACGTCAGCAGCAGCAGCAGAAAACGAGGATAAACTCCAAGAAACCACAGCGAGTGGAAGGAGACAAGAAGAACCAGGGCAAGAGGCCCAGCACAACAACCACAAAATCTACCAGCACGACCACTTCCACCACGACTTCTGCACCAGATAGCTCCGAGAGGGAGGAGAGGAGCAGCAGCCGGAGAAGGTGGAGAAAGTTGAGATGGTAACACCATCGTCAGCCAAAGTGGAATCACGCAAGGGTGAGAAGGCCAGCTTGAGATCGGTGCGAGGTTTGCGACAGAGACGTGAAGCCGAGACGGAGGACAAGGCGGACACGGATGTGGGCGAAGGGCGTTACATCAAGGGCGATCCCCTCAAAGGCTACTATGACTTCGTTATCACAGAGGGCTCATACAAATTCTGGGCTGTCTTTCAGGTAATTCAGCTAATTTA